GAACTTCACTGAAATTGTTTATCAGCTCTAAGATTTTTTTTTGTAGAGTCTTTTAGTTTTTCTACATGTATGATCATGTCACTGCAAACAGGGACAGTTCAACTTCGTCTTTCACTATCTGGATGCCCCTTGTTTCTTTCTCTTGCCTTATTGCTCTTTCTAGTACTTACAGTACTGTGTTAAATAGGAGTGGCAAGAGTGGGCATCTCTGTTTCATTCCTGTTCTTGAGGGTGATATTCAGGATGAATCCTGTGCTTCTCTGTTAATTTGTTGCCTAGATGATCTGTCTAATGCTGAGAAAGGGGTGTTTAGGTCCTGAATTATTATTGTATTGGGGTCTATCTCTTTCTTTAGGTCTAGTACTTTTTGCTTTATGTATCTGGGTGCTCCAGTTTTGGGTGCAGATATATTTTCGATCATTATGTCTTCTTGCTGGATAGATCTCTTTATCATTATTTAATGGCCTTATTTGTCTTTTTTTGTGTGTTTTTTTTTTGAAGTCTATTTTATCCTATATAAGAATAGCTACTCGTGCTTGTTTTGGGTTTCCATTTGTGTGGTATATATTTTTCTATCCCTTCATTATTAGTCTGTGTGTGTCTTTATAGGTGAGATGAGTCTCTTGTAGAGAGAATATAGTTGGGTCTAATTTTTTAATTCATTCAGCCAGTTTGGCTTTTGAGTGGGAATTTAATCCATTTACATTTAGGGCTGTTACTGAAAGGTAGATGGGTGGTGTCAATGTGAGCAGCAGGGGTCTTGTGCCCAGCAGGCTGGCTAGTCCGTGGGCATCAGTGGGAGTTCCTTCTGCAGTTGGTTTGGCTAGTACAGCAGCAACGGCAAGGAAAGGATGAAGCTCACTGTGGGAAGGCAGCCTATGGACCTGGGTTGTGACATGTCACCACTGAGTGGGGCAGTGGTGGTAGTGGACCTGTTTTAGTCTTGCAGGAGGAGCGCGCCCTAGGTTCCTGTAGTCCGCCATCTTCCCACAGTTCCCCCACAAAATTACAATTAGATAGGAGGAATAGGTTCTGATGTTCTATTGCACAGTAGGGTGACAGTGGTTTACAGTTAAATTTTGTATATTACACAATAGCTAGAGGAGAAGCTTTTGAATGTTTTGCCACAATGATAAATGCATGAGGTGGTTGATACATTAACTACCCTGATCTGACTATTAAACAACCTATTTAATGTATCAAAATATCAGATTGTACCACATAAGTCTGTATGACTATAGTGTAAGTTAAAATTTTTCCATGCTTTTATCATACCTAACAAAGTTAGCAATAATTCGTTAATAGTATTGAATAACTTAGTCCATATTCAGTTTCCTGATAGTTCAGAGGTGTCTTTTTTTCAGTTGATTTGTTTGCATTCTAAAGCACCTTTCTTGAGGTAATCAGTGTTATCAATCTCAATCTCTGTATCTTTCCAGAGAAACTTTTAGGAAGAACATATATATATTCCTGGGTTTTTTTGCTTTGTTCTGTTTCATGGTAGTACATTGAAATCATTCTGTATCTTAACATGAAGAGCATCCTCATTATTTTATCATTGCATAGAATTGCATTGTATGGATGTGCTGTAATTTACTAACTGTTCAGGTTATTTCCATTCTTTTTCTATTTACAAGAAGTGGTGTACTCTGAACAACCTTGTACAAACATCATCTCTCACAATGTCACAATCATTCTTTCTTCTACTTCTTTAACACAGTTATTGAGTACCTACTGTGTAGCACTATGTCCTGGGAATAAGTAGTGAACAAAAGAAATCAGTCCCTGTCCCCACATAGCTCACATTCTGGAGCACATGTGTAGGACAAATTCCTATAAGTGTAATTTTTAGGTTGAAGAGTATGTACATTCATAAATATAGCTAGATTATCCCTCCATAAATATGCCAATTTTTAATTCCACTAGCAATTCTTAGAGTGTGTTGTGTTTTTTTTTCTTGTTTTTTCTTTTTTGCTCTTTGCTTGATAAAAGATTCAAAATTAATGTTTAACTTAATTCAGTCTATTTTAAATCTGAATTATAGTTACAAATTAAGTATAGCTTTTTTTGTGAGCATTTCAAATAATTTTAAATCATCCTTAAAACAGTCAAATTTAGGTATCAGAAAACTTTTCACCTGAAACCATAGCCTATTGTAAAATACTTGCATGATGGGTTTGTCATTTCATTTTTCTTGTTTCTAAATCTCCTAGAATTAGAGTGATACTTTTGATACTTTGCTGTGTTATGGAGGGAGAAACAAAATCTCCTCAGACTACCCAAGGTTCTGAGATGGGTTTTCTTTTTTCCCTCTTCGCCTCTTCCTCGTAGCTCAGCACCTAATTACTTCTTTCAAGGTGATTCAAACCAGAGCAGACGAGCTTTCTTTCTGTAGCTCTACTTTACTTTCTGTGAATAAACTGTGGATTTCACTTCACTGCACCCTGTCGCCTTTGCCTCAGATAGCAGACCCTCTGACTCTCCAAGGCTGTGCTGTCCAGGATGCCAGCCGGAGCCATGTGTGGCTATTTAAATTTAAATAAAAATAGAAAAGATTAAAGATTCAGTTTTTCAGACACGTTAGCCACCTTTCCAGGTCTTAATAGTCACATGTGGCTGGTGGCTTTACAGTGGGCAGCACAAGCCTGGGCAGGAAGCTCTGACCAGTGCCCATTGAGGGATGGGTTGCTGGGGTAGCTTCTGTCTTTAGGATGGTAGATTGTTTTATTGTTTTGGAACTCATTCTTGAACCCTCTTTCTACTTTCTTACTTTATGTAACTTTAGGTGTTAAGTATTGGACCCTTTTCATACTTGGTTATCTTGTGTTACCATGGGTATTTATTATTTTGTTCTGGTTTTGGTACAGTTTCTTCTCTTTCTTACACTATTTGGCTTATTCATAGTTTCCTGTATTTATCCTTTCTTATGCTTCTACTGTGTAAATATATACTTAAAAAACATGTTTGCTTAATAGGAAGCAAACCTATATTTATTAATATTCTAATTATTATATCATTAGAAAATGAAGTGATGGTACATTTAACCTTTATTTTATAGTTATTTCAAAAAAATATTAACTTTTATTTTGGTATTTTTCATCCTACAAATTTATTGAGAAGCCTTCATGTACTAGACACTTCTAAGCATGTGGGAATTGGTGATGAATAAGACATTTCTATCCTCCTGGAATTTACACGCATCATTATTGATTCATAGCCTTTCACAAACTCAGTTAATTATGAAATTTCCCAATAGAACTGCCATATGATCCAGCAGTCCCACTATTGGGTATATACTGAAAGGAATGGCAATCACATGTTTATCACAGCTCTATTTACAATAGCCAAGAGTTGGTACCAAACTAAATGTCCATCAAAGGACAGCTGGATAAAGAAAATGTGGTATGTATACACAATGGAATACTACTCAGCCATAAAAAAGAATGAAATTCTGTCATTTGCAGCACCATGGATGAACTTGGAGAAAATTATGTAAAGTGAAATAAGCCAGGCACAGAGAGAAATACTGCATATCCTCACTCATAAGTGGTAGCTAAAAAATAAATAAATAAGAAAGAAGGAAAGAAGCAACAATCACAATAATACGTTGAACTTTCGATAGGAAAGAACAGAACTGTGTTTACTAGAGTTGGGAAAGGGGGAGGGGGAGGCAGATAGCAAGAAATTGGTTGAGTCACAAAGGATGATTATGTTTTGTAAAGATGAGTATACTAATTATCCTGATTTGATCATCACGTATTGTACATAGGTATGGATATTCAACTCTGTACCTCACAAATACGTGTATCAGTTGTGTTTCAATAAAAAAAAAATTATGACATTTCCCTTTTGGTATTCAAGTGGTCCCAACTTGGTCAGTGGGAGCCCCTAGTCCTTTAGCACTTTCCTTGAAGTTTTGAAAGTGTCTCTGCTTCATGTAACTGGTCATTTCAGACCATCTGGTTTTTGACTTTTTAAAAAAGACTTACCTCAGATCTGGCATCCACCATGCCCCACAGAGCCCGGCTTCTCTGCTCTGAATGTCTGGTTCTCTGAGGGCTGCTGCGTTGATGGACCTGGGGTGTGACAACTTCCTCAAGTCAGGAATTCATGCTGAGTTTTCCAGCCTCCTGATGCATGTGGCTTCACTCTCATTTTCAAAGAGTATAAGGTTTCATTGACTGCTGACGGCTGGTGCCGGCTGGGTCTCTGAGCCACAGGCCTGTGCACCTGCCTCTTCATTCGGCAGGTTTGCAGCCCAAGCTTTGGGAGACGCAGTGTGGGCTTTCGCACATCCCTTCCTCCCCGGCTGCACCTACCTCTCCTCCTGACTACCAGTGGAGCATGCTTTGGGGAGATGCTTCTTGGCTTCTGTCCTTTCCTCTCCTCTTGGCTGCTCCCGTAATACCTGCTCTGTAAGTGGTTGATCTCGTCTTAGTTCTGACAGCAGTCTTGATTTCTATCTCGCACTTGCACATTGTTTCTAGGCATTTCCAGCAGTTTCTTCATTCAGTCCCTCTAAAGTAACTCATTTTCTTAAAACCTACTTGTCCTCATAAATTCCAAATAGGGCAGGTAGTTTCAAATTTGGAACCTTATATTCTCTTTTTCTCAACTCTTCCTTTTATTATCCAAGAATTCCTGTTAGTTTTTTCTTCACCAAATATCTTCAATTGATCCCTTTCTTTTTCATTGAATATCTTAGGCTAGGCCTTTATAACCTCATGGCAGTGTTATTGCAGTGAACTCTGAAGTGTTGTCTGCTTCTTTCTTTCTCCTGACTTCTGGAATTAATCTTGTTGATGGTATGAGGTGAAGCTCTAACCTGATCTCCTACATCCCTCTCTTGAAAAATCCAGTGTTCTTGAAATGTCATTTATTGACTATTCCTTCTCTTTTTTGCTGTTTATGCTGGCTTACTACTCTTTTTTATTGATGTGTCTCTTCTGTTGCATTGTTTTAATTCTAGCAATGCTTTTTTTTTTTCTTTGAGAGGCTTTGAAACAGCAAATAGCAGATTTACAGGAAGATTGGAAAAGAAAGGAAGCAAAATGGTCAAGTACACACGGCCGTCTCAGAAGCCAAATAGAAATGTTGGTCAGAGAGAACACAGACCTTCGGGAAGGGATAAAAGTGATGGAGAGATTCCGACTAGATGCCTGGAAGAAAGCAGAAGCCATTGAGAGCAGCCCCAGGATGGATCAGTGTGTGACTGCCATGAAAAAAGAGGAGTCTGTGGTAGGTCTGGAGGCCAGCTGGTTTTGTCAGCTCTAGGGGTGGTGTTAAATATTTGAGCATTCAAATTTATAGACAGAAAGCAGAATGGTAGGAGCACGGACTAGGTGGAGGGGGAATGAGTTAGTGTTTAATGGGTACAGAGTTTCAGTTTTGCAAGATGAAAAGGGTTCAGTGGCTCGATGGTGATGATGGTTGCACAACAGTGTGAATTCACTTAAAGCCGCTAAACTGTACACTTAAAAATGGTTAAATGCTAAAGTTTATGTGCTGTGTTTTTTACCACAATTAAAAAAAATTTTTTTTCAGGCATTGCTATATACAGGTACTTTTAAAATTCAATTTTATAAATTTTCTTTTTTTGTGTGGCTGGCCGGTGTGGGGATCTGAACCCCTGAACTTGGTGTTATAACACTGGGGTCTGACCGACTCAGCTAACTGGCCAGCGAATTTTTATAATTCTTGTAAAGGAGGCATGCCACCATAGACAGAGCATCTGAGCCAAAACAGGTCTCCTGAAGTCTTTGCAGAGTCACATGCACGGGATCCTTTTTAATCAAGTAATTGCTCTTTCATTTGTCTATATTAGTAATTAGGAGGTGCCAGGCACTGCCTCGGGGCACAGCCAGGAACAAAACACAGTTCCTTGCCCTCGTGGAACTTATATTCTAGTAGGGGAGAAAGACTGTAAATAGGACGGATAAGTAAAACGGGTGGGTGAGATGGTGACACTTGGGAGGCGGGAGAAGCCAGGGGGGCGCTGTCGGGGTGGGGTGCAGTTTGGGCGGCCATCTGGGCAGCCTCGGGGGGAGGTGGCGGTGAGAGGCCCGCAGGACGAGCCAGGTCGAGCCTCCGCAGGTCGGGGGGGCCTTGGAGGGTTTTGCTTGCGGACGGCGGCCTCCCTCTGTGGGAGACCCCCGTCTGCGTGCCCGCGGGAGCCGGAGAGAGTGGGCAGAACCAGGCGGGTGGAGGGTCGGGGCGGCGGTGGGGCAATGGAGCGACAGCAGTCAGGAGTGACTCCAGCCGCGGCACGGGGTGTGAGAGGCCCAGGAAGAGAGCGGCATTTTCCATGGGGACAGAGGAGCTCAGGCGTGGACAGGGCGAGTTTGAGATGCTCCTGGACGTCACGTAGAGCTGCTAACGAGGCAGCGACTCAGTCCCAGGACAGGCTCCGTAGGCAGACCCTCGGGGCCATCAGAGCGTGGGTAGAGACCCGGGCCCGGAGAGACCACCCGAGCTGGGGGTGCGGGGGCGAGCAGTGGGAGCAGCAGGACGGGCAGAGGGGCCGTGAAGGCTGCACCTCGAAGGGACAGTGGCCCCCGTGCCAGGGCTGCCACGGAGCGAGGGGAGGGCGAGGTGGCCGTTGGGGTCGCCGTGGAGGGGACGAGGCGTAGCCGGGTCGTGTTCGGGGCTCCGGGAGCACGGCGGCCCGGGACGTGAGATTTGCGGGCGGTGGAGGCGGGGAGCTGCAGGGCGGCGCCGTTTGTGTTTGTTACGGTAGAAACTGCCAGGTGCTGTGTGTGCCAGGACTGGTCAGTGGCCAGAAGGCCGGAGGCAGGAGGCGCCGCGGGCAGTGGAGGCGGTCGAGGGACTGAGCAGGCCGGGCTCAGTGCAGCTCATGTGGGGGCAGTGGGTAGGCAGATCCCTGCCAGTGCTGTCACCGCCCTGAGTGAGGAGATGGCAGAGAGTGAGCAGTAGGCGTCCGAGAGGAAACAGAGTAGAGGGCCGGGAGAGGAGTCTGGTTCCCCGGGCTGCACCCGGGCCCTGGAGATTAGGGACTGCACGTTTGAAGTGCGAACTGTGCACAGCGGTTCTCTTTTGTTCAGCTTTCTGGGTAGTGGCAGCTGTATTTTAGCAGAGGAGCGATCGTCCATGTGAATGCCACCAAGCCAGGGGCGTGGAGGTATGGTGGAAGAGCGCCTGCTGGCGGGAGTGTCCCCCACACAGGGCTCTGCGCACTGCGGCCGGGGCTGGAAGTGCTGTTGGGTCAGGGTACTGGGTGTGCAAGGAATGTGCGGGAAAGACAATATGGTGCTAGCTCTGTCTCTCCATCCCAAAATAGAGAACAGGTGACAGCATAGTACAGTAAACACCTGAACATCCTCCTGTATTCAACCATGGTGACCATCTTGCCATAGTTTTGTTTATGTTTTGCTGAATCATTTGAAGATAATTGCAGAAATCATGGCTTCTCATTCATAAATATTGTGGCTTTTTATTAAATGGCATTAACTTTCCCAAGAGACCAGGCTAATTATTTAGTAGAGTGCCCACCTTCTGGAACTTTGTAAGTGGAATGATTTAAAATTGAGATTTTTGCAGTTATTGATAATTGCAGCTATTGATAGCTCTGAGGTTGGCCTGTCAGGATATATAGCTGAGGCAGGACAGAGTACAGACTGGAGGAGGAGTAGGCCCAGCTATTGAGCAGCAAAATATCATCTCCTGGCAGGAAGCAGGGTGTGATCTCCTGGCTAGGGTGGGGGTTGCGAGGGGGCAGGGAGATCTCCGAGCTTGAGCAGTGGAGCCGTGTTCTCAGCCACACTCTGTCCCAGCGAGTGTGACCACAATCCTCCCACCCCGCCTCCCTGAGCACTGTGAGCTCAGGCCCACACTGCCCTCCACTGATCTGTGACAGCCAGAGAACACAGCGTAGGTTACATGGCCTGCTGTATCCTAACTTGAAGAATGAATATGTGTCAGAAGGAGTGTGTGTATATAGTGCATCCCTAGATAACAGCTAGTTTTCTTTGGCCTATCATAATAAAGGAAAACAACACAAACGAACAAACCTACAGCCTTCTGATCTCTAGCAAAGTTCTTAGTTTTACTTAGTGTACTCATATGTAGACTAATGCTTATTTTATATTCAAAATTATCTTTCAAACTATAGAACCCATCTGTTCCATTTCAAAAGAGTCAGATTTCTTCAGGAACCCAGCTAGAAAAGTACAAGAAAAATTATTTGCCAATGCCAGGTAAGAAGCTGCATAATGTTTTTCTTAAAATATTTCAGAATACAAAGAACAGAGAATTTATACCCAATTTAAGAAGTAAAACATTGTCAATATAATTGAAGCCCTTGTGCATCATCTTACTCCCCCAGTTAATTTCTACCCTGATAGCATTCCATGCTTATTTTTTCTTTTACTACACTGTGTCCATAAATCAATATAGTATTGTTTCACATTGTGTCCTTCTGTGGTTTGCTTTTTTCTCTCAATATTGTAAGACTTGCTCACATTAACATGTAAAAACTGCAGTTGATTTTGTACTTCCACAATGAGTGTTCCTGTTGATGGGCATTCGGATTCCCGTTTTGCAGGATAATGAGCAGGCTGCAGGGCGTGTCCTGACCATGTGCCTCTCCAGGATATGCAGCAAGAGTAGGATGCTGGGCATGGCAGGCTTGTGCTTGCCCTTTAGGAGGTTTTCCCATTGCTCTACAAGGTGTACCAGTCTTTTACTGTCAGCAGAATATACTCTTTATACTTGCTAACACTTGATCTGGTCAGACTTTAAAATTTTGGCCAGTCAAATGCAAAATGTTGGTTCAGTGTAGTTTTAATATGCATTTCCCTGATCACTGGTAAGGCCATGCAAGCGTCTTTTCTTACATTTAACACACATTTGAGATTCCTTATGAATTGCCGGTTCATTTTCTTTGCCCATTTATATGTTTCTCCTTATTCAAGTTAATAATACTAATTCTTCATTTGTTACAAGCACTGCCAATATCTTCTCCCCATCTGGGTTTAGCTTTTTGGTTTGTGTTTTTTATGTATATGTTTTTCCTTCTAATATTGAATTTATCAGTCTTTTTCCTGGGTTTTGCTTTTCATGACTTTAAGAAATTCTTCTCAATCCTCAGGTCATAAATGTACTGTTTTCACCTGTGAACTTTTGCTTTCACATCTGGGTCTTTACCCAAAATTTTTAAAAATTATTTTTGTGAAATAAATTTAGAAAAGTAGATATAACATGCAATTTGATAATTATAAAGCAAATGCTACTTGGCTTACCACCACTTAGGTAAGAAATAGACTTGCAGCATCCCAGAACTGCCCCTCCACGGTATTACTTTTTCATATAGCTTAAACTCCTGTGGTGCAGCCCTAAAAAATATTTCACTACTTTTTGAGCTTTATCATACTGTGTATGTACGTTCCTGTGTCATCTTTCACTAAACATCATGTTTTTGAGATTGGTTCCTATAGATCTGCAGCCTCTAGTTCACTAGTTTTCACTGCAGGGTAGGATTCCACTTTTGGATATATTACAATATACTATTCTGTTGATATATGCATTTTTCAAAAAGTTTGGGGATGTTAAACAATGATGCCATGAACATCCTTGTATCACGTACATTCACTTCTCTGGGCATATACCCAGGACTGGAATGACTGGGGAATTGGTATGAATATCTTTAACACTAATAGATTTTGCCAAAATATTTTCCAAAATGACTTCACACTCTTAAAATTGATAAAAGTGCTTGTTTTACTCCACACCTTGTCAGTACCTTGGTATTGTCAGACTTAAGTTTTTGCCAGTCAGGTAGGGGTGTAACAGTATCTCATTGTAGTTTTAATTTGCATTTTCCTGATTGCTAAAAACACTCAACACTTTGCCTCTGCTTATTAGCTATCTAGATTTCCTCTTTTGAAAAGAGCTCATTCAGGTCTTTTACCCATTATTCTGTAGGTTTTTTCTTTATTGATTTATGAGAGGGTTCCCCCATCTTCTTCCCCATCATGATCCACATATATTGCAACTATCTTCTCCCAGTCTGGCTTGTCTTTTTACTCTTTATAGTACCTTTTGATGAACCCAATTCATAATTTAGTGTAGCTGAAGTTCAGTTTTTCCCATATGGTACCATTTCTTAAGTCTTTTCCTATCTTGAGGTCATAAACACACCTCCTATAGCATCTAGACCAGCTATTCCAGCACCATTTATTACCTATTTTTGTCTTTCCCCACTCCTGTGCCACTTTTTTGTAAGGTGTGTGTGACAGCCTCCACGTGGTGAGCCTGTGCCCAGGAGTCAGGCCATGCTCCTGTTCTGCCCAGGAGGTAGATACATAAGAGGGTTCAAGTTAATATCAGTTCATAATCAGCCTGAGAGAGAATTAAACTTGATACACAGTATAATGGGTTTGAATCCTGGTTCTTTTAAATTTTTATTTTATAATATATATATTTAATTGACACAATAATTATACATATTTATGGGGATATTTTGATACATGTATACAATGTGTGTAATGATTGTGGTTTTGCCTTTTATTAGTTGACAACCTTGGCACATTATTTAACCTCTCAGCCTTTGTTTTCTCACCTATAAAGGGAGAATAATCTTTTCTCTGGAGGTCATTATAAGATTAGAAATGATTTATGTAACATAGTTCTAATTGTACAGTCATGCACCACATAGTGATGTTTTGGTTAATGATGGACCACACATATGATGGACCTGAAAAGTTCCTATCACCCTGTAACGTCATAGTGCAGCACACTACTCATGTAGGAGCAGCATACCGTATAGCCTAAGCGTGCAGTAGCTGTACCATCCAGGTTTGTGTAGGTATGCTCTATGATGTCTGCACAACAGCGAGATTGCCTAATGACGCATTTCTCAGAAGGCCTCCTGTTAAGTGATGCATGACTGTATAATTTGCTTTGCACAGGTACCCAGTGAGGTAGAGGATGATGCACTTCCCGTGTCACATCCAAAACAGAGCACTCCTGCTATCCCCAGGGCTTTGTCACCATCTATGCATTTTCTCAAGCCAAACCTCTGTGTACTCCCTGATTTCTTTTTCCTTTTATCCTTACCCTCCACTCTCATCAATTCCTGGAGTCATCCCTCTGATTTTTTTTTTTTTTGCGGCTGGCCTGTATGAGGATCTGAACCCTTGACCTTGGTGTTATCAGCACCATGCCTTCCCAAGTGAGCTAACTGGCCAGCCTCTCATGTTATTTCTGAATCCATTACTTCTGTTGAACTATATGAAATTCCTCCACTTGGCACTTTGGGACCTGTGAATCAGTGATTTTATGTGGTGAAATAGAAATATTTCTGTCTCCACACAACCTTCTCGCAGGCCCAGCAGCCTCCTGGCTGCCTTCCTGCCTCTGTACTTATTCTCCAGGCTATTCTCCTGTAACATCCAGTATTATACTTTTTAACATGTCAGTCAGCTTCTTGCACTTGCTTAAAACGTCTCAAAGATGGGAGTGTTTACAGTATGATTCATTGGCACGTAAGAAGAAAATGTTATTAGTGCTTTAATACATTTTTAAAAATTCACCTCAATTTGTTGTTGATGTCTGCACGTTTATTTTATAATGTGTGTGTTACTGATTGGTGTGTGCGGTTCGTGATCTAAAAAGCTTAGACCACAGCCATTAGGGCACTTAGGTTTTAATTAAGTATCCAGTTATTTGGTCCATGTATTCTTGGTTGCCTTTTATCTGTCTCCACAGCTAGTTTATTAACAGTCCTTGTGACTATCTCCAAAATACCTTTGGGTCTCTCTTAGGTTATCTGAGTACCCATCTCTTCCTCTGAATTATAAATCTTCGAGAACGGACATTGTCTTTGTTTTTTGTGGTCACCCAGGACTTAAGTACCTGAATAAATATTTGAATTTATATAATGGAGAACTCCTACAAATTAGTAAAGAAAAATACTAAGACTTCCTTAATTAATAGTTAAAGGACAACAGTTCACAAAAGAAGGATACAGACTAAGGAAATGTTTGACCATACTAGTAAATTTAAAATTTTCAATTAAATATTAAAACTAACTCTGACAATTATATTCCAACAGGCAATCCATCTCGAAGATCCAAGTCTGTACCACCTCGTGATTTAGGCAATTTGGATAAGGGACAAGTAAATCTTTCTATTTTTATATATTCAGACATAGATTACTTGGGCTTGAAGTTGATTTGCTGAGTTGTTTCTTTTTTTTTACTGACTTAAGTTTCTAAACCATGTATAAAGGGGACTTTTTATTTAACATTTTATATATAATACCACCACTAGTCACAGAACCCCATAATTTTAGAATCTGGCTTTAGAAACAGCTTTTAGCTGCTTCAAATGTCTTGTTCTTACAGGCTGCCTTGCCTGGGGAGCCACTTGAGTCAGTGAACTTTCCTGATCCTGAATATAAAGAGAAGGAAGAAAAAGAAGAAATTCAGGGAGTAATCTATCATCCTGATGGAAAGGTTAAAAAAGATTTTTAAATAATGAATTCTATAAAAAATAAATATGGATTAAAATAGACTTGAAACAGATTCTAAAATAGTTGATCTGTTAACAGTGGCTTCACTTCAGTGCCTTCAGTACCTTTGGACTCCACTCAAAGTGCTCAGAGCATGACATGCATTTAGTTGCAGTTTCTAGTTGAGCGATACAGCAAAAGAAGACAGTCCCTTTGTTTAAACTTTGTTCTTGCCCCAAACAGCACAAAAGCCTTTGTAATCCTTAACTCTTTTTTATTTTTTTTAATTTTTTCTTTTGTGGCTGGCTGGCATGCTGTGAGCTAACCTGCCAGCCTAATCCTTACCTCCTTTTTTTATTTTCCTTTTTTTTTGTCTTTTTTACTGACCGGTAACGGGATCGCAACCCTCGGTGTCGCGCCCGTACCAGGGACCGGCAACGGGATCACAACCCTCGGTGTTGAACCCACACCGCGCTCAGCCAGTGAGCGCACTCTCCAGTGCGCCACTGGGCCGGCCCCTTACCTCCTTTTAAAAGCCTCAGTTCATTCTAGGCCTTCCTTTCCTGCAGCCTTTCTTCTGTTTATCCCAGGTCGGGGCCCCCTTCTCCAGCTCCATCCTGCACAGTTTTTTCTTGTTTGTAGGAAAGTTTTGAGGGGAAAACTGCCTCGCTGAATGTCCAGCTAAAAGAGGCAGTGAAAAGGGAAGGGACATACATAGGGTAGAGGGAGGTGATGAGGGAATTTTTCCTCAAGTATATGGAAAATTCACTTTTTCAAATACCCTAGTCTGATCCATTTTAATTGAAATGACAGGGCCATAGTTCACTGCTGGCCTTGAGGAATGTAAGGAGGACAAATAACAGCCACCAAAAGGAAGCAGTGACTTTCCTGTACAAAGTCAACTTCAGGGGAACATTACCGATGAGGAAAAGTGTTCTTTTTTTTTTTTAGCTGAATTATGGCTAATAAATGGAAAAGGACTGAGATTAGAAAATCACCAGTTTGCAACCTCTGATGAAATAAAGGACCTATTCTATTTTTTTTTATTTTTTTTTATTTTTATTTTTATTTTGTCAATATACAATGTAGTTAGTTATTGTGTCCCATCACCAAAACCTCCCTCTCCCCCCTCCCACCCAGATGTGTCCCCTCCATTTTCTCGTTGTAAGAGCTTCAAAAAAAAAAAAAAAAAAAAGAGGTTGTTAAATCTTCCTCTCCTCCCCCCCCGGGTTTTTTTTTTTTTTTTTTTTTTTTTTTTTTTTTTTTTTTTTTTTTTTTGTGTGTGTGTGGGGGTGGG